TTTGTCTTTCCCTGTTGCCTAAAAACACACTGAGAACCTCTGTACCAGAGTCAAATTCTTTGTATGTTGAAATATACTTGATCATTAAAGATGATTATGATTATGATTGTGCGCAAACTACACCAATGAAAACCATGAATGGAGATCAAAAGCTCTCAAAAACAAGAAAATAGACCTTAAATCAAGAGTTTTTTATTACACTATTTCCAAGGTCATGAATAAACATTTACACACAATAAAGAAGTAAATAAATTAATAATTAACAGACTTGGAATAACTAACATGTGCCAACGTTACTGCTGGTTATTCATTTATTGAATGTCTATTAATAATTAATCATGGATCTAGAAGATGAATATATATCTTTAACTGGAACTGTCCTGTGAATAATAAAGCATGTTAACCTTTCATACAAAAGCCATATTACAACACCTGGAAACAAAAGATCATAATTTTCATTCAACAAAGAGGAACATCTACAAAGTTTCTTTGAGTGATATTTTGTACATTTGTCTCTACATAAGTTACTGGTAGATAAGTTCACTAGATGCAGTGTTTCCCCAAATGGCAGATAAAAATTGATTATATAACCATGTCACAGCTGAATTTCATGATGTTTTATTGGTGCCACTGCTATCATCAGTGCTTTATGGTGGTGTTATATAAACATTTCCTCTTTGCGCCTGGTACTACCACTGTGATAGACACACACTGTGACACACACCAGCAAACTAGGTATGACTACAGCATTGCACTGAAATGATAAAGTAGAACTTTATCATAATTAGCACATTAGAAGAAAAAATGGGAGAGCAATTGTGAGGGGAAAACAAGTAAGCTGTAATGAAAATCGAGAATATAGCAACATGGCAAATAAGTCCATTGAGCCACTGATACAATAAGAGCCACTGTCAATCTGACCAGTGATTACAGAGTCATGAGGCTGAGGTTTCAAAGCACAGAGCAGGGATGGAATTTAAAGAGTCACTGGGCAAGACAGTGAATCCTAGGTTGCTCCTGATGGTCAGAGCAGCACCTTCCAGGGACGGCGTCACCATCGTTGTGTGTGTGTGTGTGAGTTGGTGCCACAGATGGCTGCCTCGGTTCTGTACAGGAGACAACTTGTTTGTGTGTGTAACATACTTCGCCAGTAAAAGTGATTATTGTTTTCTACTGTAATAGTATTTTCAGCACTCAGAGAGACTAAACCCAACAATGAGTTGCCTCTACTCATGGTTACTGTCTGTCAATCAGAACTGGGTTACCTTATTTGTCTGTGCCATAGACCTCTATTGTTGTTCAAAACAATTAAAACACAACAAGGAAACACACCGCTGCACTTAGTGACATACTGTATTTTTCTCATGACAAAACACAAGCAAAGCAAAATGTATTTATATAGCACCTTTTAAAACCCAGGTCCTTCACAGTAAAATAAAAACAAAAAGATAAGAATAAACCAGAACAACAAACAAACAAACAAAACAAAACAGAAAATATCACAAAAACAAAGTACACAGGCAAACAAATGCCTCAGTTTGTACCAGTGTCAAACACCCAAATGCCCAAATAAGTGCATTTTAAGAAGTGATCCACAAATGAAACACAAGACCTTAATATTTGTTAAGAACATTCAGAGATCTTGTGCATAGGCCCTTGACTCTCCCTTATGTCAGATCCTGTAAAACATTATAGTTGTTTGGAGCCTTTTGGCAACATTTAAAAAATATTAATATCAATAGACTTTCCTTTTTGATAAAGCTTATAGTTAGGTCTGGATCAGGTGACCCTGAGCCTTCCCTTAGTTATGCTGCTATAGGCCTAGGCTGCTGGGGGGCCCCATGATGCTCGGTTTCTCTCCTCCCCTCCCCTCTCCTCTCCTCTCCATGACTCTATATGCCGCCATTACACATCACTAACTGTGTGTCCTCTCTCTCTCTCTCTCTCCCTCTACCTTTCTACTGGTTGCCCTGGCTCTGGAGCTTTACGTCTCTGATGAGCAGTCATCGGCCACATCAACCTGCCCAGTGTTTGATTGTTTGTTGTGCCTTGTTGCTTTTCTTTTCTTTTCACTCTCCTCTATCCACTCACCCGAACCAGTCAAGGCAGGAGGTTGCCCACCAAGAGCCGGGGTCTGTCAGAGGTTTCTTCCACTGTCGCCAAGTGCTGCTTAAGGGGGATTTATTGGGTTTTTCTGCTATAATATTAATAACAGTAAGGTTTAGACCTTACCTTGTAAAGTGCCCTGAGATGACTTTTGTTGTGACTTGGTGCTATACAAGATTGATTGATTGATTTGATTTATTCTTTCAAGCATGTAAAAACAGTTGATATGACAACACACATAATCTTACACATAATCCAATATCAATTTGCTTATACCTAGTACATGCTTGAATGGAGTAGGAAGAAGTCAGACTTATCCAGTCCTACCCCATGACATCATCTTACCATCATTGGTTTGCAAGCAGTAAATGATTCACTTCTACCCACACAAGTATTATACTAAAAAAAGATTATAACAGTGTTAACATTTTTACATCACACAAGTAATATATTAAAGAATTATTACAAAGTGTTAACATTCATACACCACACCCACAATTGTCCATGTAATTAATAATTGAGCCTGTTCTTGCATATATCTTGATTGACACATACCTTTGTATTTATGTTTAAACTCATCAATTCTATTACTATTTTTTATGTCTATAACATAAGTATTTACACAAATCACAAAGGCCTGTGCCTCCATTCCCAGCAGGACTTTGATATCATAATACCAGGGTTCCCATCCTGAGTCCTCTCAGCGATTAGGGTTAGAAAACAAAAGCACTTTGAATCCCTTTGTGCCTTCGTGTCATTGTGGACTTCCTATAACCCAAGAATACATTTTGCTGTAACAAAGTGCTGCCAAAGCATAACCATAACCTTTAAAAGTATAAAAATGCTACAGTCAATACTAGTGAATAATGTAAGCACTGCAAATCAGATATTTTTCTGGAAAACAAAATAGGTTGTCAGTGAACATTGTACTGATACATTCAGTATAAACATTTTTGCTACTTGCTGGACACATTTGTTAACAGCATATGCTTATCGTCACAGCATTATAATATGCATTTGTAGCATGAGAGAGAGCGCACGTCTGCCCTCGATGACTCAAACTACTATCGGCAGGTATAGCAGTGAATGTGTGTGTTTGAAAAGATAAAATATCCAACAACACTTGCAGTGTCTAGATCAACTTTAATATTAGACCATCGCATTTGGGCTCTTAAAATTTGCATTTCTCCTTTGACATTTACAAACATTTTGCATTTCAGCATAGAAAGTCCCATTACAGAGCAATAAGGTTCACTCCTTGTTGGCACGTAGGCACAAGTCCAGGCAGGTTGAGTACATTTCATGAGTCATGCCAAAATACGGCTCACTAAGTGAACAGTTATAACTTTACAGTTATAACAATTAACAATTTGAGCATAACCATGACTAAAACCATGATACATAGATCCACTGTTTCATATCATGGGTCTGGAAGATGGGAAAACCAAACCATGGCTCAAAAATCAAGATCTGAACTGGACTGTGGACTTGTTACAAATCTTATAACAATGTTGTTTTTTCTTATGTAGGCAGATGGTTGGCTATTAACTAAGGAGTAGCTGCTCCTAGTGTGCAAACAAAGAGTTGAGCTCTCATTATGATGACACTATGGCAAACAGCACCAGTTAAGCTGTAAAAGTCCACCTAATAAAGTCCCTCCCTTAATTAACCGATCACCAGAGTTGGTTCATTAGGTCCTGAGAACTCTAAACGGAGGTCCATGTCCTGGTATGATGACATCAGCTGTGCGGAGCGCGTCCTGGCGACTGACCTCCTGTACTGCAGTGTTCATACTCAGATTCCGCCAGCTGTCCTCATCTGAGTAGCATTCAAATAAGTCCCCTGCAACAAGCACGGTGCCCACTGAAGTTCCCTTCACCAGCACGCTGACATCTTGTCCTGTGTGGCCTGGACTGGGAACTACAGATATCTGTGGGAGAAAAGAGAGTGTGTAGAAACTGACAATACATGAGCAGCAGCACAACACAACACAGTCTGACGCCTTTCTTTCTTTTCTTTTGTCCTTTCCAAAGATTCGGACTGGAACACCGGTTGTTGTTACACTATTTGCTGAAAAATTCTGAAAGTAATTAGTGCACTTCTATTGGAAATAAACAAACATTTATGAATAATATCCCTCATAGAATATCAGATACTGTCAACCTACTGTACCTATACTGGAAACATAAGTAAAGTCAACACGGCTAGCTTTGCATACATCAATATAATGAAGCATAAAAATGTAGGAATATATAATGTAGGTCAAACAGCATATGTCAACCCCTTTGCCCACATCAGAACTGTGCAGAACTCCCGTTTGTAAGTACTAGTTTTGGAGGAACTTCTCTTTCTCCATTCTTCATACAAGTACTTCTGTCATTTTTCATGTGTATAAACTTTCCTCCTTAGGAGACTGTGTGAAAGAGCAGCAGCTCTTACGTGTAACTTCTGAATGACTAGGATGATTTAAAGCATGAGGAAGCATGTGTAGATATGTAGTCCTTATTTTCCAAGACCTAGGAGTCACTGCAGTCGCTCTGAAAAGGCACGCGCTCTTTGCTTTTCCTGATGGAAAACACCTCAGTCTTACTTTTTACTATGAGCATTTGACTCATAAGCCAAACTTTAACCATCAATTTTGATACATAGTGAAATGGTTTTTTTTGTCATAAAGGAAGCAAGGAGGTAGAAAAACCTAGCAGTGGTGTGGTGGTGTGTGAGAAGAAGGTGGGAAAATCCAAGGAGGGATAACTGTGTGTGAGGTTCCATCACACCGCAGTACATTTGCTTCTACAATGAGTGACGTGACAAATCTTACATTACAGACACTTACGTGCTCATCAATAGAGTAAGCGTGTCCGTCGGCCAGCTTGTTAGGACGGTATGTGTCCCCTTCGCTGACATCATATCCCACAATCATCTCTGCTGTTGGAAACAGACCAAGGTTTCCGATGTGGTCTGAATGACCATGTGTCCCCACGACCAAGTTAATGTCTCCCGGTTCCAGGCCCTTCTCTTTCAGTGACATAAGGAGTAAGTCCCGATCCCACGGTCCTCCGGTGTCAACCAGAATAGTCCTGTGTCCAGTTATGAGGGTGATGGTCCCGCTGGCTCTAAACGTCCCGTCGGTCTGAGGGAGACAGTATCCGACTTTAAGGACTGACACTGAGTACGGCTGCCCGCAGAAGTCCTGCTGAGACTCTGACAGAGGAGCTGTGAGAAACCGACCAGAGACCACTTTGCTCTGTGTCTCCATCATATCACTACTCATATTAGCAGCAGTCGCCGTCTTCTTCTTCTTCTACTCATATTAGCAGCAGTCGTCGTCGTCTTCCTCTACTCATATTAGTAGCAGTCGTCGTCTTCTTCTTCTTCTTCTTCTTCTTCTTCTTCTTCTACTCATTAGCAGCCGTCGTCTTCTTCTTCCTCGTCTTCTGCTGCTGCTTCTTCTTCTTCATTGAGTCTTATGACGGATGGCAAACAACAAAATGGTGCTTCACCGCCACCAACTGGATAGGAGTGTGGTTCGGGAGTCTTAACTAGTCTTTCATAATTCTAATAATTAAACATTTAAGGCAATTATAATCAATTACCTCTTAAAGTCTATCAATTTCGTTTTTCTTAAACACTGAAACAAAAAACATGTCTCCAGACCTTCTTTGTAAAATGTCACACAAATCGAACACCACCTTTATATCTCCAAAATTCTGAATCATTTCCCTCCTCTCAACCTCATATTTTGTGCTGTACAACAAAACATGCTCAACTGTTTCTTCCTTCCCATAGAAATCACATCTTCCAGTAACATGTTTTACAATACATTTTAAATAATGTATTCTTTAGTCCCGTATATCCATACCATAACCTAGATATTATTGTCTCTTCTCTCCTACTTGGGTAATATGCTTACCCAACCACTGACAGCTTGACCCCAGAAGAGTTCTCTCTCCATGCTTTTGTCTGGGAACTCTGGCTGGAGTGACTCCACAAGCACCTCCACATCTGCCTGCTACCCAACCTGAGAGCAGCCCTCGCTGAGGTGGAGCAGCTTGAGCAGGCTGAGGCACCAGGTACGGTAGGTGGACCATGAGGGACTAGCAAGGACAAGGACAACCAGCCCAGATGCTACAACACCACCACTGTGAACTGGAAGAAATGCTTAGTGACACAGAGAGGGGTGCTCCTGCTGCAGGGAGACAGACCATGTCACATATCATTGCCCAGCGCCTGCCCAGATGACTCATCCATTCTCCCCACAACACAGCTGAAGCTTGGCCACCTGGCTGGGGACATGGATTCTATGTGTACTGTAAGCTGAATGGTACCTGGTGTCTGGCTCTAGTGGACACAGGGTCCACATCTGCCTGGTTCAGCTGGGGTAGCTGCTGGGGCCATCTGGGTTGGAAAACTACCCAGCTGAGTAGTGGTGCTGCACAGGGATGGGCTCGCACCATACCTACCCACAGGCTTCTGAGCCATCTCTCGCAGCTAGCCAGGGGCCCACAAGGCAGCCTCAGAGCCAACACAGGGTACCCCAATGCTTAAAGGACTTTGTTGTGACTGTGGGTTACTGCCCCACTTTTACTACCAGGTGGGGGCTGTGTAGTACTTGGGGGGTAGAGAGAGACACTTGGCAGGATTTCCAGAATGCTCAGGAGGGGATCGCCTGATGGGATCCCCCATAATGGCCACTTGGAGCAGGAGGAATTTAGTTCAGGGTGGCAGGGTTGTTAGCCAGAGTGTTCTGCTGGAGTTGTTGCTGTTGCCCCTGCATAAAAATAAAGTGGCCTTTTGCCAACAACAAAGGACAAATTAGCTTCTCCAACTTTCCTTCACCAGCCTCCATTGCACTATGAAAATAAAGCATTCCTACATGGGTAACAGATGCAAAACAATAGAATGAATATTATTGTAAGCTCTTTACCCAAACAAATATACATGGAAGTAACCACTTTGTAATCACCAACAATTTGATTAGTAACAGAAATTTAATTAAATATTTTTCCTAGAAATTGCAATTACATTTATTTTGCAATTCATTTACAGTAACTAGTAAAATATAATGTAATTTGAGCAATGCCCTGAAAACATTTAACAAGAGTTTACCCACTAAATAATTGGTTGTGTTCAACGGAACTTTTGTATCACCGTGCGAACTGGTAGGGCTCTTAATGTGTTACACACTCCGTCCATAGTCAAATATAGATAGAACGTATGCAGGATTTCTTAAAATATATACAGATGCATCTAAGACAGTAAATGGTAAAATAGGTTCAGCATTCATTATACCTGAATTAAATGTGAAATCAAATAAATGGATCAGTGATAATCTCTCAGTATACACAGGAGAATTACTAGCTATTGTACTAGCATTAGAATGGGTAGAAGAACATAAACCATTGAAAGTCCTCATTGGATGAGATTCCAGCAGTTCTTTACTGATTATTCAAAACATCCGGTCAGACTCAAGGCAGGACAAAATACTTGAAATAGTTTGTATGCTATTCAGATGTCAGAAGGCTGGAATAGATATTAGGCTACCAGCACATATTGGGGTGGAGGGAAATGAATTAGCAGATGATTTTGCAAAAGCTGCGCTTAAAAAAAGAGATGTATGTGTGGAAGTAAGTTATAGTAAGGCTGAGGTTAAGAGTTTAATTAAAAGGAAACTGAAAGGGAAATGGCAAGAACTGTGGGATAAAGATGGCAAGGGTCAGTTCTATTATAATATTCAAAGGAAAGTAGGAGAAATGAGAGGAAGTACTGGAAATAGGAAGGAAGAATATATGGTATCAAGACTGAGATTTAGGCATACTGGTTTAAAAAGTACATTGAAGGTAATCAAGCATCAATCAAGAAGCATACTACAGGGGAATGTGAGATGTGTAGGGTACAAGAAACAGTGAAACATGTTTTAATGAGCTGTCCCAGGTTCAGGCGGGAGAAGGAATTATTCAAAAATACAGTTTTAAAAGGTGGAATGAACTTTAGTTTACCGGAGGTGTTGGGACAAAGGTCAGGAGATATAGCAGACAGAGCACTTATTAGGTTTTTAGAGAGACAATATAAGGTGAACTGAGTGGGGTTATTGTGGTGTGGTGGTAGGTGGGGGCCGTTCTGATCCACACTCCAGTCTGGAAGGTGGCGGTAAATCACACAAAGCTGGTTGCCAACCGCCATTAAAAAAAAAAACAGAAGAAGAAGAAGTCCATAGTCTACTCTTCATAATGGCGGAAAGACCACAGTTAGATAGAGGGTCCTCTTTTATGGATCCACTTAAAGGGTTTTTGCTGACCTATTTTATGCCAGAATTATGTTATGACGAGTTCTTTCTCAATTTCAACTTTCTGGATGGTAAGTAGCTCGTTTAAGTCGAATAATAGTAGCTCAGTTACCGAAAATACACTCGGAAGATGTATTACTCAACGTGTAACGTCAGGATGATGAATATTGAATTTTAAAGTAAGAAATTAACAGGCCTCTGCATTTATTTTATGTAGTTCGGCTGTAGGGGGTTTGTGATTCATCTTAGCATTAATTCAAAATATAGGTTATGTTGAAGGAATCTGCATAACGTTACAAGACCAACGTCACCTGATCTGAGAGCAGTTAGCAACATACCCATACAGGGCTCCAGTCTGCGAGTGAACAGTCGCATTTTGCTACCAATTTTATTTAAGGTTGGACTGGGTGCGAATTTAAAACAGACAGGTTGTACATGAATGGCTGCTCTCACTGAAGAACAGTCTCCTCAATACTGTCAACGCAACTTTTAACTGCAGGCCTGTCACTCGCTCGTCACAGACAACTGCTTAAAACAGGCAGATCACCTGTTAGTGTGTTTATGTGTTGGAAACGTTTTACTTAAATTTCTTGTGATGGATCAGCCTCCTGGTGCCACTATGAGCTTTCTGGCTTTTCACCCCATCGTTTGGAGCAAGGCGGGGAAATGATACATTTAATAAATCCATAGCATTTTGACTTTCACTTGAGTAGTACTTTTTCCAGTCATGTATTTTGTCATTCAAGTTTTCTTAAAAATAGTGTTAAAATATTGAGGCTCTAGTCATTTATGCCCTGTACTGTATCGTATTCTTCTCTGACATCGAGCTTCATTTTTGTTCAGAAACTAAACACATCACTGAGCCACACTGTTGCACTGGGTGATGTTTCTTCATTACCTTGAACACATACACTGTAGTTTACTGTGTTTTGAAACACCGTTCAACTACCAGAAAATAGCCACTGAAACACAAACGCTGGATTAAATCCACACAAGTGCACAATTTCCTCTTTTTTTTTTTGAGTAATGGTTACTATAAACTAGAATGTTAAGTAATACTGAGACTTTTAAATGTTGGACAGTCTGTGCTGTTTTTATATGTTTGTCTTGAGTAAGAGTCGAGTTCCACATGTAGGGAAGTCAAAGTATTGAAAGGGACTGTCCTATTGGTCACATTGTATGTCATATGCATTTCCGATTTGCAACAGAATATAAGTAGCAAAGAAAGCTGTATTTGATGTCTTTCAGCACTCGCCCTATCTCTTGCTTGCAGATTTGTGTGTTTGTCTTCTGATCCTCTTCTGCATTAGATTCTCTGACTGATGACTGATTTGTTTCTTGTTTTTGGACCAGTACCATGTCTGAAGATTGTACTGAGCAAAGCCCTGGGGATCGGCATCATCCTGGGATCAGTGATGGGTAAAGTCTCATTTTGATCGTGTTTTACGCCAATCAGCAGTAGCTTGTAAGTTGTAATTTTGCTCTTGTATGTGTGTATATGTGAAGTGTTTGCAAACACTGCATATTGAAAACTGTCAAATGCTAAAAGCTTACACAGAATATCAGGTCAGATTCATAAACTGGTTTGCTCTTTCTTTCATTGGTTGCCTCTTGATTTAAATAAAACATTTGAACTTTTGCTTCTTTTGTTAAAAAAAAGACATATTCACATGTTATTTATTGACTTTAGTAACAGAAAATGTCCAGCACTAAACAGCACTGCTCATCAGCTATGTAAATGGAGTCCAAAAAAGTTGAAACTGTCAAAATTGAACCAGTACATTCTATTTTTATTGATTTTAAAGGACAATTTTTTTGTAGAAAACTCATGAACTAAACAACTGTTTCAACTCTCCTCACTCCTTCACAGTGAAACTCCCTCAGATCTTAAAGCTGATAGGAGCAAAGAGCGCTGAGGGGCTGAGCTTCAACTCTGTGCTGCTGGACCTACTGGCCATCACAGGTACAATGGCCTACAGTATCGCCAACAAGTTCCCCTTCAGGTTGGGCCATTTTCAGATGTTCTGTGAAATCTGTGTACATGGAGCACTCTGACTTCTACAGTTCTGCTCTTGTGAATATTGTATAACAGCACTCTTTGTTGGTTTAGACAAAGTTCTCCACCTTTGGTTTTACATTTTGAGTAAGAAATTGAGTAACGCGCTACATTTTACGCAGTGCCTGGGGCGAGGCTTTGTTCCTCATGATGCAGACAGTCGCCATTGGCTTCCTCATTCAACACTATGGAGGAAGAACCGTTAGAGGTAAGACTGCCTGCACACTCCACAACATCAGTGCTGATATTACTATGCGGTCACTTTGATTTGGATAGTGAAGAGCTGTATTATCACATAGAGAACTTCAGAAGTCCTCTGCAGAGATGGGAGAACTTGTTGGAAGGACAACCATCTCAGATAGAGAGGCTAGATGAAGCCACTTTGAATAAAAGTCAGATAACAGCCTGCTTGGAGGTTAAAGGACTCTGGGAGCATGAGGAATAATGTTCTGTTTGGGCACAACTCCAAGCACTAATGTCTAGAGACCAACAGGCACTACTCATTACCATCTCTAAGGTGAAGCATGGTTGTGGCAGCATCATGCTATTGGAGGGAGATATGTCTCAGTAGCTGGGACTAGGAGACTGGTAAAAATGGAGAAAAGGATGAATGCAGCCAGATACAGAGAAAAAGAAAGCCTGAAGAGTACACCTGACCTGAGACTGGGGTGATGGTTCACCTTTCTGCACTGGCCTGAAGCCATTCAGCCAAGACAACACTGCATGGCTTCATTTCAAGTCTCGGACTGTCCTTTAGTTGCCCAGCCAAAGCCCAGACTTAAACCCCATAGAACATGTGTGGAGATACCTGTAAATCTTCCACTCCAGCTTATTGATCAGCCCTAGACCTAAGCATAGTTATAAGGTTGTTGTTGTTGTGATTTGGTGCTCTACAAATAATTTTGAATTGAATTGAAATACAAGGGTGAAATGCTTGTAGAGATTTACCTGAGGAGACTGGAAGCTCCAACAAAGGCCTGAATTAAATATCTGAGTTCTTTTGTAAATTTCAGTTTTTGAGTTTTAATAAATAAAATGTTTCATTTTGTCTTTATGAATTACTGAGTATAGATTGATAGGCAGAAATGGCTGTTTTATCTATTTAAAATGAAACCTTCAGCACAAAGTGTACAAAAAAAAAGAAAAAGTGAAGGGATCCAAATACTTTTTGACACCAATGTAAAACCATATCAAAATCCAGAAAACATTTAAGTTTGTTTCTGTCTGAAAGTGTTTCTTCTCTTTCAGGTCTCCTCTTTCTGGTTGTGTATTTTAGCCTGCTGGTGGCCCTTCTGTCTCCAGTCACTCCCATGTCAGTGGTCACCTCCATGCAGGCCTCTAACATGCCAGCCATCATTATTAGCAGGGTACGCAAGGATAATGCAAGTCCAGTACATGAATGAAACCTAATGTCTGTATTTTTTTGTGTTTATGATGGCAAGTTTGTTTGACAGTAGTTTTTTATGATGCTGTTAAATGAGTTGGTTTCTAGTTGTTTCACATGTTCTTATGTTTACACTGTAACTATTAAGCATGAATCAGGTTGTTTCTTTGCCATATGGTTCAGATTAGAGTGACATGGTTAGTCAAATCAGAACAGACATCATATACTCACTGCTGGAATCTTTCCGGCTTTAGAGAAATCATTTTTCTATAATCATATCATGTTTATTAGTCATTATCATCCTTATAATTATGAGAGTTAAATATTTTCATCAGTATTTGCAGTAATCGATAACCGCTGTCTGTTTCCATGGTTAAAGTACAAATATTACCTAATAGTTGTTCATGTTGCAAGTTCATCAAACACACACAGCACATGAGGGAGTGACAATGTATGTGGTTGTCTCAGCTGATCCAGGCAGCCACTAACTTCCGCAACGGGCACACCGGCCAGCTGTCTGCCATCTCTGTCTTCCTGCTGTTTGCTGGATCCCTCGCCCGCATCTTCACCTCGCTACAGGTGAGAGGACTGTATGTGTGTGCATACACAAATACATAACAAATATAGCATGCCTACTACAAACACTAGTGTTTTCTCTGGGATTTTCTTCCAGCAGCTGTGCTGTTTGTACACCAGTGAGTGTGCAGTACCAGATTGCCAAGTATTTACACATTAACAAACAAAAGAAACATCCCCTTGTTCTTTTGGAAGGTGACTAGTTTGTGTCCCAGCTTTGCTTGATGACTCCAGCTCTTGCTGAGGTAGATATTCTGGGACATATTTTATATTTCTACTGCTTTTGCCAAAGAAGTTTGTAAAAGACTTTGCATTAGGAGCAGTAGGTAGGTCTGCTTTGTTGCTGTACGTCACTTCTCCTGAGTGAATAGTCCGGCTGCTGTGCATGCACTGACAAACAACATAGGAGAAAGGTTTACATGACCCTTGATACAAGCTACCACTTAACCTTGTGCATGCACACACATGTGTCATAGGTGTGCTTCTGTACTTCATCCAAAAGCACTACACCTCTAAACAGCAGTCGCTGGCGCAATCAGTTAACCTCTCAAGAGTCCTCAGAATAAACATTGTTTTCGTCAAATCACTTTTCATGCTTACCTCTGAATCAGAAGGAAGGAAAATGCAGTAGGCTTCAGATGTAGAATTACTGTGTGCCCTCCAACTTGGTTCCATTTTATGAAGATAGCTGGCTAAGCTCATGTTTCAGAATCAGAATTTTCACATAAACTTATTTCCTTATCAGCTTATGTTCACATGTTACACAAGTATATTGCTTTCAGCTGCAGTTGTATTGTCTTTTACAGGAAACCGGAGACTCACTGATGGCCCTCACCTTCGTCATATCTTCTACCTGTAATGGGATCCTCGCCTTGCAGGTTCTCTACTACTGGAACAGCTGCCCAGAACGCAAGAAGAAGAAGAAAAAGAAGAGAGAGTAGGCAAAGGACATAACTTCAGTTATAGAGCTACATCTTTGTTTCCCTTCCCAGTTTTAGACACATTCAGACAGGTGTCTTTGAAATTTGAAAAACAAATTCATAAATAAAATTAATGTACAGAGCCACTGGAAAAAGTGGGTCATTGAATCTACCAGGCACTTGACCTTGATGTAAGGATGTGAACATATAATGCCAAACAGATCTTTAATACTGTTAGCTAGTTTTGTAGGCGGTGTTTAGCCCCAAGCCCTGCTGCTGGTCCAGTCTCCCACTGTGGTGTACACTGATATTACACTCCTCACAATGCAGTGTTTTTCATTACATTCAGCCTGTGTTCACACTGGTGTGTTAAAATGTTTGGAAATGGCTGGTTTTTTTTTTTTGTTTTTTTTTTTGTGGGTGTGGATTGAAACAGTTTTGACCTCGGATACATGTAAAGAATTATATTGTATCATTTCACATAACCATAATTCCACACTGGCCCCTATAATTGTAATATCTATTCTAGAGAGTCTCATTTGCAAATTTGTGCAGTATGAACTTTCTGCAGGGTGAAAATGCTGAATGGAGCATACTGTAAAGGTGAAACCCTGAATGAAATAGGCCTATCAAATTCAAAAGAATCAGATAATAGTTTGAAAGTTAGTATAAACAAGTTCGTTCTGTTCATGGGAAAACTATTATATAGTGAATTGTCTGAGGAGTTAAGAAAAACATCTTAAATTGAATTAACTACATAGCCTACTGACAAGCAAATAATTTTAAATACTGTGCATGTTTCCCTAAACTGCACGGCTTCCTCAGATCCCCCTCTGTGATAACTGTTTTGTCCTGAGAGACGATGTGCGCCATGTTCTGCCAGCCTTCACACCCTGCTCCGCTGTAGCAGAACCTGTTTGTCCTGAAACAGACGGCGCTCTGCCTGTTTTTTTTTTTTTTGGTGGAGCAAAGCTTTATGCCTCAAGATGACTGGACGTAATGCATTGCTGACACATCCAGGAACTGCATTTTAACATATTCCTAGAAGGGATTTATATCTTTGGCATATGGCATGTCAGTGTTTTTCAAGCACAAGCCGTGGCCCCGTGGACTCCTCAGTCTTTCTGGCGTACTGCGTGCTCAGCAAGAGAAAAAATAGCTAGTGCTGATACTTTCCTGATCATTCCTGTATTCTATGAATTCCTTTTGTCACAGAATGGGAAATCACAGGAGCTAAAAGTTAAGGACCAAGCAAAGTCATATCCCGCAACTTGAGTCAAACATGACTACATTTTCAAAAGCACAGGTTTTCATGTCTTTTAATCAGGTAAAAAGTTTGGTTTTACAATTTTCACACATGCTGTAAAATATTTGACTAAGATGTCTTAAATGCTCTTAGTGCATTAAATTTCAAAATGTTGTGTTGAGAGCACTTTTCATCTTTCCTAGATGCAGTTTGCACACCATGACAGCATTGTGCCAGAAAATCTTTTCTCTGTTTTCTGATCCTCAACGGTACATAAAAACAGGGAAACGGTGAAAAAAGCCAACTGTATGTAAAAGTAGTACAAATGCTATTCACTGAGTGTGCAGATAAGGTCTGGCAACCAATGGGACCACATCATTCAGTCTGGAATCAGTTTTCTCAACACTGAGAAAGTTGAAGCTGGTGCTGAGAAGTGGCTCTGAACTTGAAGTTTCACATGTATGAAAACCAGGGATGATCTGGAACTAGAATTGCCAAATGTACAGCATATAGCTACAATATTCCCAACTTTCATTTTTATTTTATTATTTAATAGAAATATAATTCCTTACAGACATTTGTATCAATTTCATAAGAGGATGCATCAAATGAACAAAAGGCATAATACAGCAAAGTAAGCTTGAGTAAAAGTAAAGAAGAACAGGAAGGACAAAGTGAAACAAAATACCAGAGGTAAAGTTATACTGATATACCATTAAAAATATGAAGAGGTCAATGGTTTTGGAACTTTTGCTGATCAGGATTGTTTTAGCCACTACTTTTTCAGCTGTACTGCTCAGTTGTTCCATTTTCCTGTAGAAGTTTAGTTTCCTGTTTAATAGACATTTCTATCCTAAAACAATGCTTTTGTTTGAACAATATGTTTTAGAGAAACTTTACATTTGTTATATAATGAGAGAGCTTTATATTCTATTAGTTGGGTTTTTCCCCAGTGGTAGTTCAGCCTTACACTATTATTGCTCATTTAATCTGACACAAAAACATTTGCTAAGTGGAATGTGAAGATTCTTTAAAGAACATCCGTACAGAAGCTATGACTGTTAATCTTTCAGATATTTCAACTAAGAAAACATCTTGGTTTGTTTCCCTCTCCCCCTGTATTTTGATTATGTCTACTGTTACATATTTTGAATTGATTTATGCAGTTTCATACCTAATCAAGTCTTGTTGGCTAAAATACAGCAGCAGACTGACTGCTTTAGCCTAGATGAGAATTGTATCCCATTTAAATGTTCATGTACAGCACCTGAATAAAGGGGAGATTAGCATTTCAACAATCCCTGTCACACACTGTAGAACAACAACATTAAAACAAAATACAATGACTACAAGCTAAAATGTTTGGTTTGATGACATTTCATTAAACCAGGATCAGATCTGAAGGGTTTTGTGAGTGATTTCCTGCGCAGATAAAGGCTGGCAGAAAGGTCCTACACTGTCCTTCTCAACAGCAGCTCTTTGTTACCGCCCTGTGCTGCTGCACCTCCTCTTATTTGCCTTCCAGGTGCGGCTGAGTTCATCTCAAACAAGCCCATAGTCGCATTTTTAAGTGTAGTTCTGGAAGTTGTTCAGAATAGAAAATGAATGTTTTATGAAATTTCTTCCACTTGACCACGGAGTCTCCCACATGCTTTTTTGGTGAACTCTAGTCAAGATTTAATATTAGTTTTATCAACAGTGACTTTCTCTTTGCCGTTCTCCCATAAAGCTTTGACTGGTGAAGAACCTGGGAAACAGTTGTTGTATGCAGACTCTCTCCCATCTCATCTGTTGAAGCTTGTAACTCCATCAGAGTGGTCATAGGTGTCTTAGTGGCCTCTCTCACTAGTCTCCATGCACGGTCGCTCAGTTTGTGAGGACGGCCTGAACTAGGCAGATTTAGACATGTGCCATATTCCTTCCATTTCTTGATGATGGATTTAACTGAACTCTGGGGGATGTTCAGTGTCTTGGAAATCATTTTGTATCCATCCCCTGACTTATACTTTTCAATAACCTTTTCTCTGAGTTTCTTGGAGTGTTCTTTTGTCTTCATGGTGTAATGGTAGCCAGGAATACTGATTAACCAGTGACTGGACCTTCCAGACACACACAGGTGTCTTTATACTATAGTCACCTGAGACACATCCACTACACTCTGGTGATCCCCATTTCACTAACTGTGAGACTACTAGCACCAGTTGGCTGGACCTCTGTTGAATTAGATCAGTCATTTTAAAGGGGGTGAATATTTATGCAATCACTTATTTCCCATTACATATTTTTATTTAATTGACATTACTTTGTAGAAACCTGTTTTCACTCTGACATTAAAGAGGTTTTTTTGTAGTTTTTTTGTACGTGAAAAAACAAATTATATTGACCATGATTGATTTATAAAATCAATAAAAGGGTCAAACATCCAAGGGGGTGAATATTTTTTATAGGCACTGTACCAAAGAAATCTTGTTACATTTTTAAACATAAAAATTTAAAACCAATCATACAGGATTTGAAACCAAACCGTCCTGGGAATATACAACCCTGTTTTCAGAAATTTAAATTGTAAAACAAAAACAAAGATTTTTTTTGAAAACCTTTTACTCCATATTAATTTGGTAACAGTACAAAAATATCTAATGTTCAAATACATTTTATATCATCTGGGTAATATGGGTTTATTCCAAATTTGAGGCCAGCAAGACCTTCCAGAAATGTTGGGACAGGGGCAACAAAAAACTGGAACAATTGTTTAATGCTAAAAAACAAAAAAACTAAAAAAAAATAAATAAATGAAGCGCTTGTCCTCAGTTCCCAAACAGTGTTGTTAAAGAAAGTGAAGGGTTGATGCATCACATTGGATAACATGTCCCTGTCCCAACTTTTTAAAAATGTTTTGATGACATCAAGTTTAAAATGAGCATATTGTCAGGTATGTATTTAGTGCTTGGACCCAAATGCACAACACAAAACATGTAAAAGAAAAAAACCTTTATTGTGGGGATTATGGTATGTGCAAGGCCACTCTGGGGGTCAAGTGGTGAAAGGGATTGGTGCTGAACACTGGTGTCTCAGATAGATGGCGCTGTGTGACTGGTTTTTCTCCAAGCCTCCTAAAAAAATAGAAGACACAGTGAGTACTGGCAGATTGCAGGAAAGTCTTATTATATTTCTCGGGTGTTTCTTGTACTCACAAGTTGTTTTCTTTCTGCAGGTGAAAGGAGGGGACCTCCAGACAGGTAAGTGCAAGCAGCAGTGGAGACAGCAAAGAAGATGGCGGCGGACCAGATAAGATGGCAGATAAGTATGACATGGTAGGACAGAATGACCCAGGCCACAACCAACCAGGCAAGTTACAGACAGATTGGGCCAGGACCAGACAGCAGTCACCCAAGTATCAGGTGGAGACAGCAGGGACTAGTCAGCAGCCAACCAGGTGAGTATGGGGAAAAAATGCCAGGTAACTGTTCTAGGAACAAAAGACTGAATCAAAAGACTTAGCTGAGTAAAGCTGATGCAGGCAAAATAGCTTGAGACAGGAAGTCTCCTAAAAATAAAAGCCTCCAAGTCAGGAAACAATCATGGTGCCTATTTTTTCAAAAAGTAATAAAATATCTCAGTTTCAACATTTGATTTGTTGGCTTTGTACTACTTTCAATTAAAACAGGTTTGAAATGATCTGCAAGCCATTGCATTCAGTTTTTATTTACATTTTATACAGACCCAGTGCATCAACACAGTTTTGGATTTGAGATATACAAATCATACAACATAGAGCTAGTCATTTCTCTTACAGATGGGAATTGGTCAGATAATTCTCACTTCTCACAATCAGCAGTGTTGTGCTTTGTCAAGACGTGGCTAAATGATTCGACTCCAGAATACTGTTATGCTCCCAGGTTTCTAGATCCACAGAGTGGATCGAGTGAAGTAACAAACTGGAAAGTTGAGGGGAGGTGGAATCTGCTTCTACATACACAAAGATTGGTGCAAAGATGTCACAGTGCTAGGAAACTTAGACGCACTATTCCTTTTAGACCATTTTATTCACAGAGAGAAATCTCCTTGTTCATTTTGGACAGTGTTTATATCCCTCCCCAGGCCTTCACTAATATTGTGTTGCAGCATCTGGCACAGAAACTACTCATCGTCTTAGCTGATATTAAAAGAGCAAATCTCACTCACAAGCTGCCCAAATACAGACAGCAATTCAGCTATCCCACCCATCTACAGACCTGGATGAAGTCACTGTGACATCATACATCAGCTTTCATGAGGACATCATGATGCCCACCAAGACCTGCACATACAACAACAACAACAAGTCCTGGTTCACAGTAAAACTTGAGCAGTTGTTGCCATACCAAAAAGGAGGCCTTCTGCCTTGACTGGTTGGGGTGAGTGGGTGGAGCAGAGAGAAAAGAAAAGCAACAAGACACAACAATCAAACACTGGGCAGGGTGATGTGGCCGGTGACTGCTCATCAGAAACATACATTTCCAGAGCAAGATCTACCTGCAGAAAGGTACAGGGAGAGAGAGAGGACACACTATGGGAGAGAGGAGACACAGTTAGTGATGTGTAATGGTGGCATATAGATGCATGGAGAGATACAGTGAGTGCTGGCAGATTGCAGGAAAGTCTTATTATATTTCTCGGGTGTTTCTTGTACTCACAAGTTGTTTTCTTTCTGCAGGTGAAAGGAGGGGACCTCCAGACAGGTAAGTGCAAGCAGCAGTGGAGACAGCAAAGAAGATGGCGGCGGACCAGATAAGATGGCAGATAAGTATGACATGGTAGGACAGAATGACCCAGGCCACAACCAACCAGGCAAGTTACAGACAGATTGGGCCAGGACCAGACAGCAGTCACCCAAGTATCAGGTGGAGACAGCAGGGACTAGTCAGCAGCCAACCAGGTGAGTATGGGGAAAAAATGCCAGGTAACTGTTCTAGGAACAAAAGACTGAATCAAAAGACTTAGCTGAGTAAAGCTGATGCAGGCAAAATAGCTTGAGACAGGAAGTCTCCTAAAAATAAAAGCCTCCAAGTCAGGAAACAATCATGGTGCCTATTTTTTCAAAAAGTAATAAAATATCTCAGTTTCAACATTTGATTTGTTGGCTTTGTACTACTTTCAATTAAAACAGGTTTGAAATGATCTGCAAGCCATTGCATTCAGTTTTTATTTACATTTTATACAGACCCAGTGCATCAACACAGTTTTGGATTTGAGATATACAAATCATACAACATAGAGCTAGTCATTTCTCTTACAGATGGGAATTGGTCAGATAATTCTCACTTCTCACAATCAGCAGTGTTGTGCTTTGTCAAGACGTGGCTAAATGATTCGACTCCAGAATACTGTTATGCTCCCA